ATTCCTGCGGCCTCCGGAGAGAAGGCACAGGCTGGGGGTGGCCCTCACGTCAGGTGAGAGCAGTGCGGCCTGAGTGGTGGAGGACGACTCCAGGCAACAGAAGCGCATGACCAACCTCCCCTGAGCAGCCGGGCTGAGCTGACCGCTTCTCTCCACCTGCCGGGCACACACCTGCAGACTGTCCAGGGCAGCCACGTGCCTCCAAACCCACGTAGGCCTGTTATGCTTCTTGTTATAATGATATAGATTCACTGAATATCAGGTAAGCCAGTTCGATGGGAGAAGAGTTGGTGGTTTTGTTTTTGTTTTGTTTCCTTATGAGAACAAAGGTGAATGTTTGGGGGAAACTCCAAAGTCAGTGTCTAAAACAATAAAATAAATAAATAGGGCTTCCCTGGTGGCGCAGTGGTTAAGAATCCGCCTGCCAATGCAGGGGACACGGGTTCAAGCCCTGGTCTGGGAAGATCCCACATGCCATGGAGCAACTAAGCCCGTGCGCCACAACTACTGAGCCTGCGCTGTAGAGCCCGCGAGCCACAACTACCGAAGCCCATGTGCCACAACTCCTGAAGCCTGCACACCTAGAGCCCGTGCTCCACAACAAGAGAAGCCACCGCAATGAGAAGCCCGCGCACTGCAACGAAGAGTAGCCCCCGCTCGCCACAACTAGAGAAAGCCCGCACGCAGAAACAAGGACCCAGTGCAGCCAAAAATAAATAAATAAATTTATTTTAAAAATAGTGAGATGATTGTAAAGATTCTAGAAGGGTTTTGCATGCAGATTACTTCATTAATGTCTGAGCGCTTGCTCCACTTTAAAGAATCAAAGCTCCATGATGTTACAGGTGCTGGTTTAAGCAAAAAAGATGATGGGAAGCTCCATCCAGTGGGCCCATAGCCAAGAAGAGGCACACAGGGATTGGTGACTGCCTAATCATTTAGGGGTTTGGGGTTAAGATGAACTGTTTGAAGGGAAGCTACAATTTCTTCCAATCCTGGCTTTTTAACCATTCCTTCTGATTAACCAACTAACTGCTGGGCCCAGTCACGTCTGGTGAGGGTTTCAAAGCTGCATCTCTCGAGGCTGAGGTCAGAACCAAATGAGAACTCAGAGCGGGGCCTGGCCCAGTGCCCAGCACACAGGAAGTGCCTGACTGTGCTCTGCCGTGAGGTCTGTATGAGTCATTCTGGGAGAAGGAAATCACAGTGGGACCCCCAAGTTGCAGGGGCCTTCCCTGACCCCCGGTGTGAGGTGTCTGGGCCTCTTCACTCCGCGCCCAGGCGCCCACTCCGAGTCACCCGGCTGGTAAGTCAGCTCTGTAAGCTGTAACTCCCCAAGGTGACAGGGGGCCAGGCCCCTGGCTTCCACGCTCATCCGCTTCCCGTCACTCGTCGTGTGGGTCCAGGAAGGCAGGAGGTTTCAACATGGGCAGTTACTCGGGGCTTGAGTGGAGAGATGACCATTGAGCCCGACGGACTTCAGAAGTCGGCCCCAGTCACTTCTGCCCTTTGTCCAGCACGGTGTGCTAGAGTGAGCTGGGTCTTGGAATCCTGGACCCTGGGCACACCAGCTGCCTGCTCCGGGCTCCTCCCCGCCCCTTGCGGTGGTGCTGGGAGGGACATTGGAGAACAGTGTGTCAGTCACATCAGGTCCTCAGTCGGTGACAGTTTCTGCACCGAGTCGCCCTGCTAAAGTGGCTACAGCCGGGAACCACCCCCCACACCTCCTATGAGGATAAACAGACCTATGGTCACCGTCACTGGGCTCGCAGTTTCCTGTAATCCCCAAACTTCAAGCATCCGTCCTCTCAGCCTCCGTCACCCTCCCTGGGGTTACTCCTAATGTCCAAATCGGGTCCGGAAAGAGGAAAAAGGAGCAGGAAGAATGAGAGAAGCACTTTGCTGGATCTGTCTCAGACGAGAACAGTGAGACTCGGCCAAGAGCCTTGCCAGGTCAGAGCAGGAAAGGGCGGCCCTGCACATGCCAGGTTCGAGCCCACTCCCCCGTTCTCCCCGGCACCCGTCTGACCTGTTTGGTGCAACACCTGTGAACTGGGGTGCTCACTGTGTCACCACCTCCCCACACGCACCCAGTTCATAGCGACCTGTTGGGCCAGGGCTGCGCAGGGATTGGGCTGACCACCCCCCTACCAGGGACCTGACATCAGAACCCAGAGAAGAGACGGGGAGCTGAGGGGTCGAGGGGACCGAGGGGCTGAGGCGGCCATCTGGAGGTGGCCCTGAGCAAGCGGGTGTGTGAGTTCCCAAAGACCACCCATCTGTGGGGAGAGGGAACCAGAGAGAGAGCGCCCGCGGCCAACCAAGCCACCATGGGGCTGACGACTTCACGCGCATGAACTCATTTAACTCCCTGCCCCGAGAGCAGCTTATTCAAGGTCGTTCAAGCGTGTGCCACCCAGGGGAGGGGTGCGGCTCCAAAGCGTGACATTGATACCCAGAGGCAGCTGCTCACCTGCCCACGTTGTGGGTGGCCATGATATAGAGCACCTCAGCGGTCTTGATGCGCACCAGGTCGTTGGGGTCCTTCAGCAAATGTTTCAGGCTCTCCAGGCAGCCTACGGGCAGAAAAACCTCTGAACATTCACCAAGCTCAGAAACCAGCTAACCTAGAAGTCGACAAGTGAGCTGATGTCCAGAACGAGAGCACCAGGGCTCTACTGTTTCGGGGTGTGAGGGCATCGTGTGGGTGATGGAGTGTTTCAGAGTCACTGGCAGGGGCTCTGGGTGCTAGAAAGGCTCATCCCCCAGGACCCTGTCATCCAACCCCCCTCGTGGATCTCTGCACACCTCCTCGCAGTCCTCCACGGGGTTCAGAAAATGCCCTTTGCATTTGGAGAGACTGGAAGTCAAATTCCAACCTTGTCACCCACTAGTCGTGTACCCTTGAAAGGGTTACACCTCAGGAAGCCAGACTGAGCACCTAAAAATCTTGCCTCATTTACTTATGGGGCAACCCTAGCCTCACACTTCTCTCTGAGCCTCCATTTTCTTCTCTGTGGGTTGAGGTGGTTCCTTCCCTCCCAGGGCCAGTGCTACGAGCACTAAGGTCACACGGGCACCGCACGTATGGCAGCGCTGGCCCAGAGTCGGGCTCGTTAAATAGCAACCTTTTTTATTGAAGCTCCACCCGGTGTAGGAGGCCAGACTGCAACCGCTGCCACCATCTCTGGGATTAAACTAGCCCTTCGGATAAGGCTGGTGGGAGAGGCGGCAGTTCACTCATCGTGGGCCTGATCTGGGACAGGTGTAACCGCGCCACTAAAATCAATTCAACTCTTATGTGGGTAATTAAGAGAGTGGGACACAGTGGACACAGGTCCCCGTGTATGTGTGGTTTCAGTAGGGCCAGTGCCTATCTTCTGTGACAGCCTTGCGGATGAGACAGATAAAGCCCTATTTGGTGGGTGTGTGGCCACCGGGTTGAGTCATAGCAGAGGGGCTGACCACTGGTGGTGTCCAGTTGAGGATGGACTGACCAGCTGGGAGGGATGCTGTGAAGGGGCCACCTCAAGCTGCTCTGTGTCTGTCCATCCAGACCGCAGTTGTGGTCACTTGGGCTGTGCCACGCTCACCTATGCGGATGGCTGTGTAGACGTGCTCGGGGTCGTGCATGAGGTCATACAGAGCCACGAGGGCTTTCTGCCTTGTCAACAGGTCCTCCGACTGCAGCTCCTCGTTCAGCTTGGGCAGCGCCCGGCAGCCGTAGGCAATGGCAGCCTGGGTGGGGTTGATGTCAGGGGGCAGGTACTTGGAGATCTGGGCGTGGGCCATCTTCCCACGCCTCCCACTCCTGCACAGGGCGGCTCTGTAGCTTTCAAAGTGAAGCTCTGCAGAAACCACTGATTAAAAGAACCCAAAAGTTGTCAACATTGCTACTGTGAGTTGGTATTTTTACTTCCATTTTACGGATGAGCAAACTGAGAGTGAGAGCAATAAAGGGATTTGTTCAAGGTCACAGTGAAGCCCAAACTTCACAGTGAAGTGGCAGCCCAAACTGCAAACTTCAGAGCTCTCCCGATACTTTATAGGCTGGGCCTTGGGACAAAGGCATTGAAAACACAAACTAAGCCAAATAAGCAAACACTGTATCAGCTCCATTCAGTGCTTATCTTGTGCCAGCAATACCTAATATCCAGCTCAGCTACCTCAGGAGGAGGGGACTTCTACTACCCACATTTTATGAAGGAGGAAATTGAGGTTTAGGGACAACGAGCCGTGGAGATCACGAACTAGGATAGGAACCAATGTTCAAATCTGGGTCTAGCACATTCACCCATCAGGGGCCCACAGTCGGATGCTTCCGGCACATCCATACGGAAGGAAATAAGGTTGAAGTGTGATTTATTTTTATTACACACACACTTTGAGCAACTGTAGGCAGTGTGGCTTAGTAGTTAAGAATGGGCTCCAGACCCAAGCCATTGGGTGGCCCTTAACAAGTTATTTCCTCTGTGTCTTTCTGCAGCTCAAAAGGGAGATGATAATAGCACCCACCCCCACCCCAACCCCCGACCCCCGACCC